GAAAGAGCAAAGCCTGTTAACCTTGTCAGCTAAAGCAAGGATAAGAATATTCCATCATACAAGCATGATTAATACCATTAAATTATAACATTCTGTGAATATAAACACACAAAGTCTAAACTTGAGCAAGCCAGATCAACATTTCACACCATCTTACTGGCCAAATCCTTGACATTTGGAGTAATTGCGGAAATATAGAGTAACACCAGCCAAAGCTGTCTCGTAGGAAGATCACATGAGAGGGGAAATGAAGAGGTAATTTAAAGGAAAACAGCAGGAGGTGGAGGGTGGGCAGACAGTTTGACTGTCCTAGCTTTCTTATCTGCTGTCTGGTTTTGGTTTATTTTCCACTTCTCTTGCATGCAGCATGTTTCCCAGGTGACCCCTGGTGGGTCTCTCTGCTAATCTGAGTTAAAATTGATTTTCTTTTATTTATATGATATGATATTATATGATATGATATTATATTATAATCTCCTTAACTTGTGTTGCCTACCAGAGGGGATCAAAGAGTAAATTAGAGCGCTGAGGAGCAGGCTTGTTTTGTTCTATATTTCTGTGTGTAACAAATAGACTGGGGTAGATGGCCTTAATCAACACTTCTTCAGTTGGTGGAGCCATAATGCTGACAGATTGTGTTTAAAGAAAGGGGAAGAGGAGATGTGACAATCTCTAATAAAACTGAACTATATCATAGATAAACTATTATATAGTACTTGAGCCACATTTGGCTGCTTTAGAAAGAGTTGTCAGTCTCCGTTAAAATGAAGAATATACTTAGGAAGTAGGAGATTAATTTTACACTCCTTTAGGGTTTCCTTGTGTAATGGGTCATTGAAGCAGCAAATAAAAGCCACAATGATAGCTATTGTTTGTTGGTTTGCATAGTCTTAACTGCAATTAAGCATTTCCTTTACAATATCTGTTAAGACAGTTGCTAAGTTTTGAAAGCAATCAGACTTTCTGCTCACTCTGAATATGAATAGAGCTACTCTTCAGGGCTGTGGAGTGCAGATATCTGATTTCTAATAGGCTTATGTAGTTTAAGGATTATTCATCTGGTGAGAAGCTCTTTAGCATTTACCTGTATTTTAATACGTAAGTCTGAATCTCTTGCTGTTGTACGAGAATGGCTAAAGCAATGGTAGAGTATGCTTTCCTGTAATACTGATTATGTGTTTTTCTCCAATGCATTTTCTTCCGAATTGGACCGTTGTTGCTGTATCTGACATCTGGTGCTGCTCATCACCCATAAACCCTTGGAACATGATTTCTTACGTAAACTATGCATCAAACTGGTCTGTGAAATTGTTACCAAACGGTTTGTATTCAAACATGGCCAACTTGAATACATTTAAAATTCTGCCGTGTTTTACTTGCAAACTACAATACTGCAATAATGATACTTTCCCTAAAACCTTTCTCTGTCTTGGGGTTTGGTTGTTTTGGTTTTGGGTTGGGTTTTGTTTTGTTGGTTTTCTTTTTGTTTCCTCCATGTTGGTAATACTGTGTTTTCTGGCATATTCTATCTATACTTTCTGGGCTCCATGCTTCATGGTGTGCTGGATCATGGGTACCACTGCAATGGTTGGTCAAATATATTTTTTAATGGAATAAAAACTGCAATATGGTCCTTAATGTAAACCTGATCATCACAATGGCCAATACCAAATTCCTGAACAATGTTAATTCTTGGTCTGGGAATTCTGGTAAAACATTCCTGGTGTAACTGTACATTTGAACGGGGTTGGGGACATGGGGAAAATACCTGTGTTAACATTTTTAATGTAATTTTTTTTATGATGCTTGGGTTCATAAAAGAAATCTTTGGAAATGAGGGAGAAACAAGCTGCCAAAGAAGAAAGACATAAAGAAAAGAAAGTAGAAACAAGTGCAGAAAAATTGCGTAAGCTCTTAAAAGAAGAAAAAAGGTAACTTTGTTACATTCAGTATATTGATTATGTGGCAATAAGTGCAGATAGATAAAACAATGAACAATCCATTTCCAAACAGAATGTCCTACTACTAAGTACCTAGTAAGCTAGGTAGAACTTCTACCTAGGTAAGCTGCTTTTCCTCCAGAATTTTTTTTTGTGGGTAGTGTCCTCTAGTGCATATAGCCTTTAACGAATATACATATGGAGGTGAAGTTGTTAAAAAAATACTTAGCAATGGCAAGTATTAGCAGGATGAAATGCCATATTAAACCTGGAAAGATTTTGATAACAAACTATTCAGTGGATTAAATTTAATTTTTTTTTATAAGGAAATGATACTTGAAATTGTCTTGGCAGGTTAGCCTCAGTTTCCATTCATGCCTTACAGTCCAATCTCAGCCAGACTCTGGGGAGTACAGATTTGCTTTCTAGATCTAATTTTTGCCTGATAATGAAAATTATCTCACAGGTTAATTACATTTTTTAGGTTGAAGAAGAAAAGGAAAGTTTCAACTTCCTCCTCTTCCTCATCATCATCAAGTGATTCTTCATCAGATGTATCAATTTCTTCTTCCTCCTCTTCCTCTGATCACAAGAAACGTAGGAAAAAGCGTCGGAATAGATCTGAGTCTGCCCATAGCTCAAAAAAATGCTCATCTAGAGTTTCTTCCCATTACAAAGATCAGATTAGGAAAGAGGAGTGTTACTCACCTCCAGCTGATACCTCTGCTTCCTTTCTTAACCAAAGTTTTGAAGTGGAGAAACTGCTGGAAAGGCAGGACAGCTTAGCATGTCCAAAAACAGAGGTAAAAGAGAAAGACAGACACCATTCTTTTTCAAGGACTTCAGGTGATGATGAAGACACTTTTGGAGGTAGGTCTGAAGCTTCAAGAGATTCTTACAGTAGCTCCAGAACACTGCCAAGCAGTAGCAAAACTGAAAAATATGGTAAAACAGATCGATTTTTCTGCAGTTGGAGGGGTTCCTCAGGTTCATATCATAAGTCATATGATAAACCCAGTATGCATTATTTTAGAAGATCGGAAAGGGATGTAGAGGGGAGAAAAGAGCCATTTAAAAAACATGGCGCAGGTTACGACAGGTATTACGTGTCTCCAGCAGGGTCTAACTATTCTGGGAAATCGGCAGGAAAATACAGATCATATTCTAGCACCTGCTCCCGTGAAGGTGATAAAAGTTGTGAAAGCGATAGGCATGTATTAAGTAAACATAAAAATGAAAGTGAGTATAAGAGTAGGAAAAGAAGTTCTGAGGAGACTAGCAAAACAGAGGAACCAGATGAGGAAATGTCTTTAAATGGCACAGAGCAAGCAGACAGTGGCATTAAAAGAAACCTGCCTCAGAACCTAGTTAACATATTCAATCAGATAGCTGAGTTTGAGAGGGAGAAAGGAAGTAAGCAGAAGAAAGAGTGAAGTACCTAAGAAAATGCTATGCTCGTGAGAGTAGTTAAACTTTCATTCAAGTTGTTCTTGAGGAAGTGTAAATGAAGAACAGTAGAAAGGCGGAATTTGTTCTGTCTTGCAGAATGTCAGAGAATTATTAAAGCAAAGATTATATGGTGGAAAGAGATGCAAGGTTATCTTACATATAATATTAGTTATTTCTTAAAATCTAAGTTCCCAATGCTCTTAATTTGGGATGCTCCTGTACAATATTCTCTGAAATCCTTTGATACTCCTGGACTGTAGTTAGCTGTAACTCACATCAAATAAGCACTTTAATAACAGATGGGGTTTGTTTGATTTTTCTTGTCCCCTGGGGTACTATTGACTGTTGGTATTTTGTTAGCAACCTTCAGCTATAGAAAGGGGATAACTGAATAAAAGTCATGTGCCATCAATGTACATAGTTCATTTGCTCATTAAATTTTCTTAGTTTTTCTTAATTTTGTGTCTTCGTTTTTGTGAATGTTGCTGGGATGTTTCATACTGGTGCCCTGCTTATATATGCTGCTTAAGCAAACAGAACCTCCACTGTCTATGAAGGCAAGTGTATTACATTCTTAAATGCATCAGCTGTTTTCTAAGTAGTATAAAGAGCCCCCAACTGAGGTAGAAATGTTTTAGAACAGTGTTTATTGTCCAAATACGTTCAAGTGTGGGCCTTTGGGGTTTGGGTTGAATTCTGGGGTTGATTTGTTGGGTTTTTTTTGCTGTTAGGTATTTGCTTTACCAGCAAACTGTTGCACTGCTGTGGAAAAAGTTGACAGCTCCAACAATAGTTGGCAGAACATGCTAAGGAGCTAGTAATACCTGGCAGACTATGCAATGCTCATTGTACTTCAACTGCAGGTTTTCCAAGTAACGCCATAGTTATAGGTCAGTTACAGAAAAGGTACTCTGTAAGTTTTTAATAGAAAAAGTACAGCTCTGAAATACTAACATAGTTCAATTAAGATCAACCTTGACTATTAATCAGATAGTCATGCCAGATCTTACCTTGAAGCATACAGTTTCTTTCCTGGGTTGTTGCAATGTAACGTAAAACTATTTTGACAGCAGTGAATATACCAGTTGACAAAAATTAATGGCTTTAATCTAACTCTCCTTTTACTTGTAAGGATGAAAAGGCTTCTGGAGGGTTTTAAAGTTCTTTAGTTCTCCAACAGCAAAATGAGAAAGTAATGTAAAGGTTAATTTATTATATAAAACATATGCTTGACATTTCTAGATAATTTATTGCATACTGTAGAATAAAGATAAAACATACATTTCTGATAGAAATTAATGCTAAGATTGCTAGTATACAGGCATAGAAAAGTTAAGTTACAGATTAATAATCAATTAAGAAGCCTTAAGTAGTCTGAAGCCTTTACTATGACCTTCAAAAGATTACTTAAGACTTTCTTTTGCCTTTACAAATATCAGAGGTGCTAGCTCTGCGGGATGGCTGGGTACCAATAGCAGCTGCTTCTGCAGGAGGGTCAATAGGCAAGCTCAGATCTATGACTTTGAGAACTGAAGTTTGACTAGAGCCTGAACTTGCACTTCTGGAGGATCTGAAACACAAACGTTTACTCATCAGTATCCAGAAATCCCCGTATCTCAAATAGAGTTTCTAACGGTAACTTGCAACAAAGCCACCCAGCAGCAGTCTTTATTCCAGGCAAGATCCCCAGCAAAGAATCTTTGTAGACATCAACACTAATTGCTTAAGTACCCTGTGAGAATGTTAGATCATAACCAATTCAGCGTATTACATACACTGTTATTTGCATAGATGTTGAATAGGAGAAAATGGTAAAAGCATATGTGTCTGTCTTTGCTATTTAACTAGGAAGGGGAGCTCACACTAGAAAGTGCAAAATGTGGCTGGAGCTCAAACTTGTGCTTTTATCATGTGAAACCACTTTTTAATTAGAGCACAGTTAGTAAAGGTAAACGTAACTATTCTGTAATTACTATTTTAAACTGTGGTGGATGCTGAAGTAAACTGTGTGCTACAAAAATCTAGTAAACTTAATGGTGGGACATTATAAGGAGAAAGTTTTTATAGAGTGCTCAGAAAGTTGAAGATTGGGAAGGTCTTAAGGAGTAGGGAATTGTGTCATTTAGGCACTAGTTTGCCTGGTTTAAACTTGAACTTACACAAAAACCCAAACAAAAACCCCATTGCTGCACTTACCGGATAGAAGCTAGCGAGCTTTGCGAGGATGGTGATTGAGAACCTTGACTACCACCAGCAGAAGCAATTGTAGGAAGCTCTAAATTGGACTAGAAAATTAGGAAAGAAAAAAAAAAGAAAAAGTTGACCTAACAGTTGTACAGCAAGGTTGGGTGTATCAGGAGGGTTTATAATCCTTCACATCTGAAGAGATGTTGTAAGTAGATGAGCACTTTCTCCTGTTTTACTCTTAAATACAGTTTATTGTTGACTTTAGGAGTTGTCCTTGAAAGACACTCATCATCAGTTCACTAGAGCTATCACTCAAGATCTTGGTGGCAGTTACCTGGAAAGCTTACCTGCTGGAAGTATATTTGAAAGGGCATGGTTAAATCAGGATTTGCTTCTAGAACACCGGCTAACAATTTGTCAATGGTTCTGTTGAAGCTTTTCAGTTCACGAAGATCAATGTCTTTTTCTTCCTGTGTTTCTGTTTTAGTTTTCTTCTGCAACTGAATTTCTCTGGATAGCCTGGAACACTTTTAACAAATGTTTTTAAAGTTTTGCTATTATGAAAACACAACACTTTTTCAGAAGCCCAAGTTTAAATTCTTTGGGTTTAATTGTACTTACATCTATCGCTGTAAAGTTATAAGCTGTTATTAATGACTATACAAACCTGTTTTATAACCCTTTCAAGTTTTGGCTTCTGTTCTTCTATGTCTTTGTTCAGTTGCAAAACAAGAGCTTGTTTTTCCTTCTTTTGCTCCTGGAAGAGGGCCTCCTGCTTCAGTACCATATCAAAACTTCTTTCCATGCTCTGCAAATTCATTTTAACAGTAGTTTGAGTTTATAAACAGTTGTGATATGCTCTCACTTTCTGTATTACTTTGTAGTGATACCAGATCTTCCACTACTTGTTTCTAAATGTAGCTCAAGCAGTTAGTACTAAGGATAACTCAAAAATTTCTGCCTGTCAAACTGCAGTGGATAAATACCTGGATAAAGAGAGTACCAGGGAATTTACATATCTTGCACAGTTACACAGTACCAACTTACCAGTGCAAGCTATCCTAACAAAAATAACGTTGTTTCCCATGGGAAGAGATTGATGCCTTTGACTGGAATGAATAACATCCACCCTGGAAGAGCAGCTCTGTGTTTTTATGAAAACAAGCGACTGCGTGTGGGGAAACAAAAGAATTAAAAAATGGGAAAAAGGAAAAGTTATGCCTTAACACACCTCATTATATCCTAGGACTTACTCCCTGGTGAAGATGTGTCCTTCTCTTTAAGAGATGTTATTTCTTATGTAAGGTGGTAGAATAAGCAGTAAGAATTTTGTTGATATGTAGCCAGTGATTCAGAAAGTAGAGAGGAGATTGAAGTTAGAACAACCATGTGGAATATCACAGGATGCCTTTGATTTCTTCCCCCTGAGAAAATTGCAACTAAAATGTCACCCATCAGAGTTAAGCATTGTTCTTTCTTACAGGACAAGTGGGCTTTTTGATAACAAGGGGAGCCAAGAGTAAGTCCTTGATGTAGAGCCAGAGCACAAGCTATCCTTTACCTGCATCTAGTGCTCAGCCTGCTAAGGAGTCAGCTAGCTTTACAGAGCTAAATTAATTCTCTTTAAACTCAAGCACCTTAAATGCTAATAAACCAGAATATGTTCTCCTAGAAAAATCCTGGGACGTGGATCCTACATGACACAAGGTGTGTGGATTTGAATCTCTGCAGTACTGTACAGGACGATGCAATATAGTGCTGTCTGCTACACAAAAATACAACTGCTTTCTTGGATGCCAGAACACAGCACTGTCAGCATGCATCTGGGATTTTGAAACTAGCTGTATGTGAATAAAAAGACTGAAGTTACATTGTGATTAAAGTAAATAAACACTCTGGTTTTGAAGGGAGAGGTAGAACTTTCTAAAAAAAATCGTATTCATTCATACAGAGAGTGGAATATAAAAGAACGGGCAAAAAATTGTCCCAGAATATCCTGTTGTTTCAGTGGGATGGCTTGCATGGATTCAGCTACATGCTGCAGCCTTGTATAACTGGAACTTTTGCTTGTATTTTACCTGGAGATTTTCCTGAAGTTCCTTGATCTGTCTTCGTTTGTATCTGTATTTTTCATCAGCAGCCCTTTTCTCCTCCTCTAGTTTCAATTTTTCTTCATATTCCTCACCTGTGATTCCAAACAAGCAACATTATTGCTGGACAAGCTGTGTATACAGCTCTATTTCACTTTAAAACAAGATGTACTCTAAAGTAACTGCATCACAGAACATTACTATATTAGTGTTGGTAGTATTGGAGAAACTTTAAGGGATTTTTAAATACTCTACTACTAATTCTAGATTGCTGTGAAAAAGTAACTGGCTTCATGTGAATGGTTTAAGAACTGTTTCTAGAGCCAGCAGAGGGCACAAAAGAATCAAGCATTCTCAAGAATTAAATTTCTGTAATTTCTCACAGTGATGCTTTTTATATGCTAAACAAAGGAAGTTCCATTGACAGCAAGCTCATGAATCCCAAGTGGCACAAAAACAACAGATGAAGATATTTTGCAGAATTCTGAGGAATTTCCAATATGCAAAATTTGTAGTTAGGTAGTCCATATTTTAAAATTTGCTGACACTACACTGAAATTGTGCAGTTTAAGTTCTACGCTTCCTCCTCATTTTCCCACATAACAGGTTACTATTTTTTCCACCCCCTTCCTTGTGAAAGGCCAGAGGCAACAATGGTGTAAGCTAAGGGATCAGTCTCCATTGCTAAATAGAGTACACATACCTAA